TAGACAATGTTCTTTACATGACCCAACAAGGAAAAAAAAATCAGTGGGATTAAATCTGACGACCTAGGAGGCCAAGCGATTGATTCACTTCTGCCGATCTATCTCAAAGCTATCACTCTGTCCTAATTATTCCTAACATGTGGCAGAAATGTGAAGGCGCATTCGCGTAAGCCGTGCATGGAAAAGAAAAACACTTGCAGGGTTTTCCTTTCCGATGACATAAACCAGATATGTAAATTTTTTATTTTGGATACCTTTCATCCGGACATCCGATAAATCCAATTATCAATCCAAACCCCATGTCTAGTCACTAAGATGTGACAATATTAAAGGCAACAGCTGTCTCTGTGTTTTATATGGATACGTGCTTGATCTCACCCGAGAGGGAGAACACGGATTTAGGACGTGTGAGAAGAAACTGCCAAGGAGAACATATGATCCCAAGGGAGAAGTAATGAGAGGATGAAGAAATTTGTATAATGAGTACCTTATAAGTTTGTACGATTAGCAAAATTGTGTTAGGGTGACAAAAATAAGGAAGCTTAGATGGGCGGCCATAGTAACGCACAAGAAGGGAATAAATGCAGAAAAACTCTAGGAGGAATAGCTGAAGAGGAAATATTGCATGATCGATTAATCGTAGTTGGGACGATAATATCAAAATGGATTTAAAAAAAAAGGATCTTATGGCTTGGATTGGATTCATCTGGCTCAGCAAAGAGACCAGTGGCCCGCTGTTTACATAAAACACGTGCCTTTTCTTGAGTATCTGAAAGACTATTAGCAGTGAAAATTGGGACGCTGCTTCATGGAGTTTGTTAAAAAAATCTATTTCATATTATGACATCATAGAACTAATCAGATATGATTGCTATTTTTTTATAACACGACATTTTTTTTATATTCTTTAGCAAGCATTTATATCAAAGTTCAAGGTTCTCTGATGGGCGTGTTTAGGAATTGTTATATTGCTTTCAAGTGGTGCTGTCGAGGTTATCTGTGGTGGTCATATTTGAATGCTAGAGGCAGTGATATAAGCTTAACTGCTTGACGACATGTTCCTTGTCGCGTGTTCTTTGCAATAACTGCAGGGCCTCTGTGGCCTAGTGGTCAGGGTTCCTGGCTACAGATCCAGAGGTCCCGGGTTCGATTGCTGGTGCTACCAGATTTTCTGAGAAAAATGGGTCTCGAACGGGGTCAACTCAGTCTCGTGGGGATAATTGAGGAGCTACTTGAATAGAAAAGTAGCTGCTCCGGTCTAGAAAACCGAAATTAACGACCATGAGGATTTGTTGCGCTCACCTCTATCCGCAAAAGTTGGCACTAACTTCGCCGACAAGCGGCGGTCGCTTTGTCGATATAGTTTGCTTGCCGACTGAAACCACTGAGTTTGTTTGTTTGTGATGATGCTTACCATCACCAGTATCATATTTACACACCAATCTATAATTTCACCTGCAGTTCGTATTGTTGCAAAGCTTAGTCTTGCAGTCTGAAGGCAGAAGGCAGATTTGGGAGCTATTTGGGAATAATTGCGCTAGGTACTAAAAAAATCATTAAATGAAAATGGATTGGAGATTTTTGCTCCAAGTGTTGCTGCGTAGCAGTCAGTAATTTATCTCTCATTCTGGAGGTATCCAGTTCATATCTCAGCCGGTATACCAAGTCTTCTGATTAAAATTTATAAAGTGTTTACTTCAGTTCTTCTTCAGACAAGAGAAACTGACGGACCAAGCAAGTTTCTGTAGCGGCGGCGTTTCGAGAGATGCTTGTTTCGAATCTCGGCTGAGATACTGGCTTTCCTGATAATTTTTTATTTTCCTCAGTCCCTCCAGCCAATTACGGGATCGTGCTTCGGTTGAATCATGACCACTTCTTACCAAATCCTTAACAATTCATGAAATACGTATATGTTTCTTGGAGTGGGCAATATGTCCTAGGTTTTTAACAACTAGGAATGTTTATTCTCCTCAAATCGAACTTCCCTTGAATCCTTAAAGAAGAGACTGGACCAGAAAAATGTAGTTAGCACAGGACGCTCTACCTGTCGGAAGTGACTGGAAAATAAATGGTATGCGAGGTAGTGTTAAAGTAATAGGAAGTAGGTTAACGCCTCCACGCTGTCCTATTTCGTTTCCTGGGACGCTGAGTTTCAGTTTCAAGTGAGATGTACCACTTCAGCTTCCTTCCACACCCTTCCCAATTCGTCATTTAGAATCGTAGCTCCATTCAACTAGTGGTGAAGAGAGCATCGACAGTACATCAACAGATCCGAGAGTAAGAGGAAAGCCTTGGCGGCGCCATAGCTCAAGCGGTTAGCCGCTGGCTTCCCACCGCGGCGGCCCGGGTTCGATCCCGGGTATGGTCAAATGGGATTTGCGGTGGACAGAGTGGCGCTGGGGCAGGTTTTCTCCGAGTACTTCGGTTTCCCCTGCCAATCTTCATTCCACCAATTTCTCCACAGTCAGCCTCAGCTATCATCTGGGGCTGGTACAATAGGCCAGAAGTGGCAACAGTACAAGGGACTTATTCCCACCCCACTAGCAATTAAAAAAATAGAGGAAAGCCAAGGGCGCGGAGAAAAACTGATGTTTGACTGACCAGCTCAAAGAGACAGCCGGAGAGAGGTTACCTAAGCAGCACAGTGATTCAGGATTGCTTGCAATAATAGCCCTTTGCAAGGAACCTGGGTAGCTGTGCTGGACGGCCGAGAGGTCGGAGTTCGAGTGCCCGCAAGGGCAAGATTTTTCTCTTCTATGCGTCGTACAGAACGGTTCTGGGTCCCATCCAGCCTCCTATATAAGAGATATCGGGGGCTCTTTCCCCGGGGGTAGAGCGACCGGGGCGTGAAACTGACCACTCACCATCAACTAGTGCCTAGTTAAAAAAAGTAGATTTATACATCCACTCTCCCACACGTCTTCCTGGCGTAGTGCTTAATTAGTTAGGTACAGGAACAATTTTACCTAATAGCCTTTTACGACTACTACTAATATTGCATAATGAGGAGTTTCATAACTTGTACTCTTCACCAAGTATAATTACAATGATCAAGTCAAGGAGGATGAGGTGGGCAGGGCATGTAGCACGAATGAGTAAGAAGAGGAATGCGTATTGGTGGGAAAGCAAGAAGGAAAGAGACCACTGGGAAGACCAAGGCGTAGGTGGGTGGACAATATTAAAATGGTTCTTAGAGAGATAAGATGGGATGGTATGGATTGGATTGATCTGACCCAGGATACGGACCAGTGGAGGGCTCTTGTGAACACGGTAATGAACCTTCGGGTTCCATAAAATGCAGGGAAATTCTTGAGTAGCTGTAGATTTGGCTTCTCTCAAGAAGGGCTCAGCTCCATGAGTAAGTAAGTAAGTACTCATATGACTACTTCACTGTATATCATATTCCTTCTCTTCTCCTCTTCAGGTACAGGTGGATGAAAATAGAATGGAATTTTAAATAAAAAGCAGAGTAAAAGAGAATCACAAATCTTCTTGTGGCCGGTAGAGGCCTTAGACACGTTCCTCTGCTTAACCAAAACCTCTCACCCATCTGCTTCTGGAGTTGGAGCACCTCCATCAGGTGCAGAGACACAGAATTCGTAGAGCTTTACCTACATATCCCCTATACGCCTTAATCACATGTTATGTAGACACACTTCAGCTTTTCAAGTATAAACGAAATTTGGAATGTGCTCTTTACTATTGCGATTCCCCAAGTAGCTCCACGGAGCCGAGTCTCAGAAACCAGCAGTTGCTTAGCTAGTCAAGAAATTACAAATATTTTATGGAAACCGAAGGTTCATTACCGTGTTTACAACGGTCCGCTACTGGTTCATATCTTGAATTAGATAAGGTCTAGTTCACACCGCAAACTGTTTCTTGAAGATTACCCGCCCATCTACGTCTCGATTCTCCTAGTGGTCTCTACCCTTCAGGGTTTTCTGTATGCACTCCTATTCTCTCATATGTGTTACATGTTGTGCTCGCCGTATCGTCCCTTATCTGATGATTCTAGTAAAGTACAAATTATGAAGGTTATCATTATGCAAGTTTTACCAACCTCCGATCATTCCATCCCTCATAGGTCCTAATATACTCGTATTCCTCAGGACCATGTTGTCGAACACCCTCAGTCTATGTCTCTTCTTTAATATCACACTCATACAAAACTACATGCAAATTTGCACTTTTGTATATTTTAATCGCTACGTATTTAGTTGGCAGGTGAGAAGACAAAATATTCTGAACCGAATGGTAGCAAGCATATCCCGAATTTATTCTGCTCATAATTTAGTCATGAATGACATTTTGGTTTGGTACTGTCGTTCTTAGATATCTGAACTTTGCCACATATCCAAAAAATATGTTGCATGTCTTTATGTAATGATTTTCTCCTGCATTCTGGTGAGGATACATAAACGTGTATTTTAGTTTTTTTCCGTTTCTCCTAGACCTTTCTTACTAGCGCCCGGTAATATCTTTGTTTTTCTGAACGGTTACAAAGAGTGAGCCGGAGTAGCGTAGTCGGTATAGCGACTGCCTACGGGCTGGACGACCGAGGGGTCAGAGTTCGAGTCCCAGTAGGGTCAGAATTTTGTCTCTTCATATCGTCCAGACCGGCTCTGCGGCTCACCCAGCCTCCTATCCAATGGGTACGGGGGCTCTTTCCCTGGGGTTAAAGAGGCAGGGGCATGAAGCTGACCACTGACCTCCAGCTTGTTCCGATGTCAAGAAGATGTGGCTCTATACATCCACTCTCCCATACGCCTTCATGGCGTAGTGCTTAATTAGTTAAGCAACGGGACAACTACTTTACCTATACGAAGTGTAGTTGTACTGGACTCCATACTTTAGTCACCCTGCACTAGATGGAAGCACAAATGAAACAGCCCGTCCTGTCATCTACAGGATGCATTACGAACCCAGACACGCACAGAGAAATCCAGAGATGAGTACACCATGTACACCGATGTATACTATCATACATGACGTCAGCGCTGAGAAATAGATGTGGGAGTGGATATCAGTAAGCTGTAGTGCCATTATTTGTATATGTGGTGATATGTCATGTTGTTTGCGTATGATGCTATTGATTGAGCCTTAGTTTTTTAACGACGCTTACTTAACCAAATAAATTGTATAGGGTCGGTAATATATTTCTAGGAAAGGCACTTTGTAGGTAACGTGATGGTGGATTAGTGATTTGAATGCACCACTCCAGCCTTTTTAGTAAACCAATCAGTACGACAACGTTTTGGAGAACAGAATTATAATATGGGTAAGTAATATTGTATGGAATAAGAGGTATTATAATTAAAGTTCTTAAAAAAAATCAGTGTGATACTGGACTGAATATAGCGCCTAGGCCACTTGTTTGACATTTGCATGATATGGAAAGTTGATCAAGGAGTGGTTATGTGTATGATTTCATTATTAAGGTATGTTTGCAGTGGAAGCTGTGGTGGAATTTGATTATGTAGGCCAGGAATCAGACGAGCTGACTTTACGAAAAGGAGATGTGATAAGAAACATCCAAACCCAACCAGGTGGTTGGTGGGAAGGAACACTGAATGGTAAACGAGGAATGTTCCCAGATAATTTTGTAAAAGTAAGTAATTTACTGGGAGAATGTAGATATTAGTTGTATTCTAATTTTTTATATTCCAAATATTGATCATTTAGTATACTGATACATGAAATTTGAAAGGGTTTTTCTATATGATATAGTGTTCTCTCTCAGGTTTAGGCACACTGTTAAATCCACAGTGTGAGTGACCCATTGAATTTTCGTTTTCTCTTGGTAGGTATTTATTCTGATATATTCCTGTGTTGAAGTTTCTCAGTGTACACTTTTGCCTTCAGAAGGTTTTGGTATGGAGTTGGACAGAAATGTTCAAATGTAATAATTTAGCTAAAATGAATGTACAGTACCTTATGATGACCAGAAGGCTGAAGAATGTAATAAACATTTCATATGTAGTATACCAATACAAAAAGTCATGTTGATGGAAAGAAATACAATTACAGCTACTAGTTTAGCATATAGGTTTGTGATAAAAAGTGTGAATATGGCAGTAATTCTACTCACTAAGAACATTTGAACAGTACATAATATAATGAACCACACGGGCAAAGATCGGTCACTATCATTTTCTAAGGTACTGTGGTGCCTGTCAAGACAACAGTGGGCAAATAAAAGTAATATTAAAAGGGTTAATATTCTGTTTTATTATGTCAGCCTGCTACATGTTTTGATCTAAAAGATCATCAGGTGGTACTCATACTCGTTATTGAGTTATCTATGGATGGATCCATTTTTTTACAATGTAGTGGTTATATATAATAAAACAGAATATTAGCACTTTTAATATCAGTTTTATTTTTCAGTTGTTGCATTGATGGCCACTGACATACCTCAGATGCAGTGTACACAACAGGATGCAAATAATGAAGATCATCATCATCAGCCTTTTACATTTTAGGTCTAGTGGCTTGTTGTTGTTTTCTTGTGTGAAGGTCAGATGTGTGGGAACTGTCTGAAATGCAATGTTTTTCCTATAAAGTGAAGTCTGGTGTGTGATAAGCAACATGTTGCCAAATGATACATTGTCTTGATAGTTAAAAGTTGTTTCCTGCTTCTGCCATGATGTGGTGAATTTTCTATGCACTGTAATTACATTAAGTACTATGGCTGATGAGCTTAGATTCTGCAGAAAATATGCCAAGCCTCCCAGCTGGAAGAGAACAGCGCTATTCCCACTAAACTGGGGCATGCAGACCTGGACTACTAAAACTAAACTAAACTCCATGGCCTGTAGTCCGCAAGCGAACAATACCGCTGCTTGTCGGCGAAGTTAGTGCCAACTTTTGAGGATAGAGAGTGTTATGTGGTCAGCAACGGATCCCCAGGGCCGTTAATCTCGGTTTTCTAGACCGGAGCCGCTCTTTCCTTGAAATAGCTCCTCAATTATCCTCACAAGGCTGAGTGGACCCAGTTCAAGATCCACTACTTCTCAGAATATCTGGTAGCACTGGGCATCGAACCTGGACCTCTGGATCTGTAGCCAGGAACTCTGACCACTAGACCACAGAGGCGGTCTACTAGTGGTACTAATATTTTGCTAAGCATGTGTACCAACAGATCTTAAACAAAACCCACCCAATTTACAGAGGAAGCTGCAAATGCTACCTGTTATGCACAAATTCCTGGTACATCAGTAAAAAGTTCGCATTTAATACTATAGGTCCTTTTTATAAATTTTTATCTTCATACCAATACACAAGTGCCTTAAATTTGTATTTTTTGCCAACAGAATTGTGCAGAACAATTTTTGTAATGTATGTAATAGCACGCGGTAGCATAGTGGTTGAGGGGCTATGCTACAAGCCGGAAGGTCACGGTTTCAAGTCCCAATGAGGTCCTTGGATTTTTTTCAGTTGACCTAATCCTTCCAGCCGCACTAGGTCATGGGGTTTACTCAGCCTCTTAACAGAAATGAATACCAGGAATTAATTAAATAATTTTCCTGGGGAGTAAAGCGCGACCAGCACGTAAGGCTGAAAACCTTACCGCCAACTTTGAGCCGATTGTCTAGATAATGTGGGACCCTCAACGTCTCACAACCCTATGGGCCTTCATGGCCTGGTACAGGGATAGCTTTACCTTTTTTACTTTTATGTAGTGGCAAAGGTTAAGGTCTGTCAGTGCTTTAACACTGCATCATGAAGATGTGTTGAAAGTTGGAAGTAAATCTCTAACCATTCTTTATCTTTATAATCGGTGGAGGTTAGGATTAATTTTATGCTTCACGTACTTTATCCTCATGGAAAGCCTCCGTGCATATTGGATAGATGCTAGATTGGACCCAGAGCATTCTTAGGTGCATTGGTATCTCTTCCCTTTCCAGGGATTGAACCCTTGTCATTCAGACTGAGATATTCTGGCTCATAGAGTGGGCAGTGACATTTGTAAAACTTAATTGTGACTGTATGTTGTTTCCTTCATAAGAGGACTATACTGTCCATGTTGTAAAGTAGTTGAAAATGTAATACATTTTGTACTCATTGTCATGTTACAAATTGGCATGGCATAGTCATAATTCATTATTCATCATTTCAGGTTTTATCAGAGACAGATGAAGGAAAGGATTCAAACAATGTCAGCTTACGATCAAGTAAGTTAATCTAGTGACCTACAGATAGTTTTCAAACTGACATTCAGTAGGTAGGCCTCAACAGAACCCACAACATGGCTGTAAAACTGTACAGTGTAGATGTAGGATTTGAGGTAGTCACAGTGGTGCTTAGAAGAGTTTTGTGTTCCGGGATATAACATCTTATGGTAGCTATGCTTGCTACCGGCTTCATGCTGGCTTCTTGCTTGGCTCATTCTTCTACCTTGAATAAGGAGGTGACATGTTCCTCTGAAGTGTCAGCTGATTTTCAGCAAACTACACAGCATTATATCTTTATACAATGTAAACTTAAGAGGTGCATTCAATAGAAGGAATTACGAGACCTATTTGGAAAGTAACCTCTGTTTATTTTGGGCAACTAATGTAGGAGCAGGGGAGAGCTCGTGTATGCGAGGTAGCATCACATGTCTCATTGCTTTGTAAACCATCCCATAACTGGTCACATAGTGTTTGCTCTTGTCTCTACAGAGTGAGTTATGATGTTTCCTGCAATTGATAATCCTGCCAGCTGCGAAATTCGCAATGTTATCTGCTTTTGTCATGCTAAAAACATGAGTGCTGCACAAATCCATTGTGAATTATGCGCAGTTTACAGCCAAAATGTAATGAGTGAAGGACCTATAAGAAAATGGTGTAGCATGTTCAAGGATGGATAAACAAATGTTCATGATGAAGAGTGAAGAGATTGGCCATCTGTAGTGAGTGATGATCTTGTTTTTGTTGACCAAAAAACTTGTGAAAGATGGCACTTCACAATTCCAGAACTTTCGCAAATGAACCATTGTTTATTTTTCAGTAATTTTTATGTATGTTCAGAAGACCGTTGTTAATATTGAATATACAAGTTAGAAAATGTATGCATAACACAATGATTAATATGTTTTCCTTGAAATCTGTAAGAGTTACAGAAGCAACATATTGGGGCACAATGTGTAAGTTTATTTTTATATAAAACATTTTTCACTTCAATAAACATGTAGTGCATCTGCTTGAGATGTGCTTGGGTGTTCATCTGAATTGTCAGTTGTTTTTCTCCGATATTAACCGAAATTGTAATGTCCACAAATGTTAGTAAAACTCTTGAATATCAAATTTAATGAAAACTCATTCAGTGATTCAGAAGGAGAGGGAAGTAAAAAATAAACACAGAACTTATTTTATAATGCCTGAAGCAAAGAAACCACTTGGGAGACCTAAGCATAGATGGGAGGACAATATTAAAATTAGTCTTGGGAAAATACCATGAGATTAAAATTTCATTTAACTCATATAATGTCCAAAGGTGGGCTCTCTTGATGTTGGCCATGAATATTCAGGTTCCATATTGACAGGGTGTTTTATGTACTTGAGGATAGACTTCAGCCAAGAAGTTCCCTTCTGTAGAAAAGCTTCCTTATGATGTTTGTTCCTATGTACAGAATTATTATTTTGAATATTTTGAGGATGCAAGCACTCATAACCTGCATTATGTTATGTGCTTTACAATGTAATATTTAAATACCAACTTCCTGACCTTCACGAGACTGTAGGATGAGTAATACCAAAGAGAGAGAGAGAGAGAGAGATAGTGGCAAACGTGTGTAGTGCTATCAGGCTAGTGATATCCAGGTGTAAAAAATCCCCAGGTGCTCAGCCATCTCTGTTGCACATATAGGTTGGAAGTTGGTACATGGAAGTGTTAATAGTAGCCCAGCTGCAGTGACTGAAATCCTACTACTAACTGTTCAACACTAATGCAATAATTTGACTGTGGGAATAGAAACATTCACAGTCATGGTTGAAGGACCAGTTGTACTAATTGAAGTTTCTCGTAGTTTTTTTTAGTCGCCCAGGGAAGTGCCTTGAAATAGACCATGACCACTTCCTTCATAATTTTTTTCCCAGTTCCTCGTAATCATTCTTTGGTCTCAGTCATTTTTAATGACCTCTGCAGGTAATACAGTGTAATTATTGTATGAACCAATTAAGTCTGACAGTGCAGTTTGAATTAACACAGTAGATATGTTGGAGTTACTATGGATGATAAATATCCTTCGTGTGTCTTGATATGTCTGTTGTTTTGAATGTAGTGATGTTATTTACTGCTGTTATATTAATGTATGTTGTTCAGCACAGGTGTGTTAATTATTAACAGAATGTACGAGTAGGTAGCAGAACTAATCTGTCTGTACTGGACAGAATGGGTGGCGCTAGATGGGTGGGAGGTAAATGATTCAAATCCCAGTCAGATATTGGCTACCCTGCATAATGATTTTCATGTTTTCCTCAGTTCTCCCAGGCAGATAATGGGATATAATCTTGAAGTATGCCATGGTAACCTGCTCACATATCCCTTCCTGTTCCATCTATCAAAATCTTCCTACCACATACCAGTTTCTGCTACGTAACTGTGGCACTTATAATTTATTATTTACAAGTATAACAGGTTTCTTCCATTTCAGTTTAATATTTTGGAGTTATTGCTAAGTAAATATTAGTCACTGAAAATTATTATTCAAAACAGATGTAACTTGAAATTAATTGTAAATTACTGTATAAGCTGTCATCTATAAAGAGGCTTGTCAGTAGGGCCTTTTCTATTTATTCGAGCTGCAAGATCCAGCCCACTGGCTGGCATCTGTGTCAACATTTTGATGCAGCTCAGGTTTCTGTGAAATGTTGGTACCTGTCTACCAGATCACAAAGCGTCATATTCCAGAAGGTCATAATATAACATAATGTTTGCATTGTAGGTAGTGGACGTCAATGTAAAGTTCTGTACAGTTACCAGCCAGCCAATGAAGATGAACTGAAACTTGTAGTTGATGATGTTATCGACATATTGGCCGAGGTAGAGGAGGGCTGGTGGAAAGGCAGACTTGGAGACACTGTGAGTACCGTGAACATAAAAGTTGTGTTCTTTTGTCTTACACTTAAGTAACCGATTTTATGTTTGAAGTGAGCCTGCAGGAATAACATATTACATTATGTGCATACACTTTACCATGTGTATGAGTTGGGGATTCTATACTGTGTAGCATATTTCTGGTATTAGAAAAGCATTTGAACCTATTAAAGACTAGTGGCAGATACAGCACTCTAAAAATTTTTGTTTTCCACAATGTACCTACATTTTGAAATGATATCTGTAAAGAGGTAAAGTTGTCCCTACACTTAACTAATTAAGCTCTATGCCATGAAGACATACTAGGGAGTGGATGTATAGATCCACGTATTCTTGACCTTGGCACTTGGAGGTGAGTGGTCAGCTTCATGCCTCAGCCGCTTTACCCCTGGGAAAACAGCCCCCAGTGCCCATTAGATAGGAGGCTGTGTGTGCCACAGAAGCGGTCTGGATGACGTCAAGAGGACAAGAATCTTGCCCCTACCGAGACTTGAAGTCTGACCCCTCAGCCATCAAGCCTGTTGCATGCTGCTGCACTGATTGCGCTTATTAGTTGAGTAAGAAATTGATTCATTCTTTGGATAAGTGAGACTTGCCATCACATGAATAGTGATAAGCATAGGGCTGTCATCAGGGGCGTAGGGTACATGGATGTGGTGGAAGCATTGGTTCCCTATAGAAAAGCAACCAAAAACGTTTCTGGCAATTTTTCAATTTTGAAAAAATATTACATACTTCAAAATATTAATTAATCTGAGAACATATATTACATATAATGAGAATATTGCAAGTTTTAATGTGTTACATAAACCATTTATCAGGATAGATCAGTTGTTTTCTTCCAAAATGCAGGGAACTTTAAAATAAAATGAGCAAGGAAGTAACAGGTTGTTCGCTTCCACGCTCATTCTGGTTCAACTGGGACTGCAATGTTGCCATATATGAGGAGTCTGTTGCTTAGCTAAATGTTACGGAATGTTTCCAGCAATGTTGCCGGCTGTGAGGCATTGCAGTATGCAGTTGGAAGTCGGTGACCTTGCAGTTACATAATTTTTCCTGTNTAGAAGAAGGTGCACCTAAGCCTAATCTAACTTTACATACAAAAGTGAAATCTTGCACACGGCATTTCAATACCAGTTTATATGAGGCTATTCCATGGTTGTGTGGGTGTGATAAACTAAACAAATTATTCTGTTGGCCTTGTCTCTTGTTTTCTAAAGAAAAACACGTGTTTAACAGTGCTGGTTACAATGACATTAACATCATTTACAAATCTGGCAAAAGACATGGGCATTCAAGTTAATCACATTGCTTGTCTTAAAGAAATTACAGTTTGGTAAAAACAGAAGGATGGAATTTTCTCTAAGCAGCCAATACAAACAGTCAATTGAAAAACACAATGAAGCTGTGAAACAGAACAGGAAATTTGTAGGCCAATTAATTACAGCAGTTTGTTTTCTGGGCTCTCAGGGTTTAGCATTTCGGGGACATGATGAAAGCGTGGCATCTGTTAATAGAGGAAATTACATTGAGGTTTTAAATATGCTGGCACGTTATGATTCTGATTTACACAATCATTTAGAGTCTTCAACTGCTTTCCGTGGTTCTTCTCCTGACATCCAAAATGAACTGATACATTCTATATCTGAATTGATGACAGTGGAAATTAAAAAGGAAATTTCAAAGGCTAATTATGTTTCTCTAATTCTTGATGAGACTTCAGATGTGATGATGAAGTGTCACTTGGCTTCAGTTCTTCGATGTGTGACAGCTGATGGCAATGCTGAAGAAAGGTTTCTGCATTTTACAGATGTAAGCTCTGACCGTTCTGCCAATTCTTAACCATGCTCTTGAGATTTTAAATGATTTTGAATTCCCAAACTCATTGCACAGACTTATGATGGTGCTGCTGTGGCATCACAACATGCAGGAGTACAAGCAGAAATTCGCAAGCAGTACCCAAACGCCATTTTTGTTCATTGTTATGTGCATAGACTAAATTTAGTCTTAGCACAATCTGCTAGTTTTATTAAGGAAGTTAAGGTCTTCTTTGCTACTCTCTCTGGCTTTAGAACTTTTTTTGCCAAGTCCACAAAAAGGACTGAAGCATTGGATTCCCACCTTAGGAAAAGATTTCCTTCTATCGCACCTACTCGATGGCAGTACCATAGCCGACTTGCTGAAACTGTGCATGAATACAGAGAAGGAATTGAGAATCTTCTTGTGTCTATAATAGAGGAACCAGAAGAATGGGATGTAGAAACAATTTCTTCTGTATGCGGACGTCTCTCTCTTCTAAGGGATTTCGATTTCAATTTCATGCTGAAAATATTTTCTTCAATTTTTCCATATTCTGGCGCTCTTTTCAAAATCCCACAAACTATGAGACCCGATATAACTTTTTGCAGTACCAAAATAGACGAATTTAAGCATCACATGCAAAAATTAAGGGGAGGATTTGGCCACCTTTGGAGTGAAATGGAAAATGTCTTCAATTCAAATGGCCCAACTCAACCAACCCAAAAGAATTTGCACTGACTCAATGAGTGGAGAAGAAAGAGAAAACTCCTATAAACGGCTGTTCTGTGAAATTATTGATGTCGTGTGTCAGAATGTCTCTGTTAGATTTTTGGAGAACGCTACGCTCCTCTTCTTGAGTCTTCTTGATGCCAGATATTTTCCCATGTATAGAACCTCATTTCCTGAAAAAGCATTTTTCTGTTTAAAAGAAAATTATGGTGCATTTTTTTACTTTGTTGCCTTAAAGAGTGAACTTTTAGTAATGTTTTCAGACCCAGATATGGCAAAAGATAGTGTGTATGACTTACATCAGTATATGTATGCTCTTCAGTTATCATGCGTTTTCCCGCAAATCTTCAAATTATGTTAGCTGGTATTAACAATACCAGCAACAAGTGCTGCGGATGAACGCTCATTTTCAGCTCTGAAGAGATTATTGTATTGTATTGGAGAGGGTGGGTTTCCCCATGCACTTAGACCAACTGTTGGTCCATTGTGCGTCCCCCTATGATATTCTACCAGTCTGTATTCCCTACCGGTACTGGTGCGTGCCATCAGTCCCGACTCAGCCAGCGAGTTCGGCCTCTACTGGCTCAGCGGTATCTCTATGCTTCCCCCATCTACCATAGGCGTTAGAGACTACTGTTGGGCGGGAAATGTCCTGAATTTGGCTCAGTGGTCCCCTTAGGACATGAGGTTCTTTTATGTGCCGTAAAGCTATGACACGGGACCCACGGCTTAAAGTCCCTCCCGGAGGACTTGTTCCCTGAATTTTTCCGCCCTTAAAAATTCCACGACCTCCGCAGGGTTTGAATCCGCGTACCTTGAGTCATGAGGTGGGAACGTTACCCCTAGACTAGGGAGGCCGCTCTGAAGAGATTAAAAAACTACTTAAAAATTCGCAGAACCAGGATAAGTTGTCATCACTGGCTTTGATGAACATTGAAAAATGCTTCCTAAACAAACTGCAGTCCAAACCCAGCTTTCTAGATGAGGTTATTGATCTGTTTGCCGAGAAAAACAGATGAATCGAGCTGAATTATAAACAATAAAGTAAGCATTAATTATATTCCAGGTTCACAACCCTGTCATTTGGTGGCTATAAAATTGTGTTGATAATTAGGTGTTATTTTAACATATTAGCTTAAGTATACAATACATATTAAACTGTTAGCTGTTTTCTTTTAAATAGAAGATAGAAACTATAGGGTATCTAGAAAAATTTTATATACACGTATATAAAGTTGCTTCCCTGCTTTTGGTAGTCATGCTACGCCACTGGCTGTCATATACATAAATACAGTGATATTTACTGGAAAAAACCATCCCCAGAAATAGGCATAAACAGTTTCATTTGTAAAAGCTTAAGGTTAAAATTTTCTGTATTTTGTATTCCTTTTATTGTCAGGCTAAGTACAGACACAGGCCACGTGTTCTAGCTGCACTGTAATTGTGTGTACCAAGGTCAGGTTTAATTTCCTGTAATATTTGCTCTAGATAATTTTACTGTAAATATATGCCATCAATCATGCTAACATTACCAGAAGGATTTTTGTTTACATTGGTTGTGTTCTCTTTCTGTTTTTTCTTTTGTCTCTAAAATAGGTATGATGAACAGAATCTTTAAAAGTAGTTAGTTAGGTTATATGTCCCATGATGCACTGCACACAGATTTCTGCTGGATCATAATACTGAAAATATTAAAACTCTACCAGGACGTTTGACATACAAAGCTTGTGTGACAACTGTTGCCTTAAAAGTAACAAGTCCAAACCAAAGAACCTATTCTCAGTCCATACAGCAGGCTATTATTTGATGCTATATATAATAAGTAGGAGTTAGTGCATCAGTCAGACAAAAATTGTACTTGCTGCTTATTTCTCTATAAGAGAATTGCAGTTTCTCTGTACCAACCTCTTTACCGTCACATAACATACAAGACAAATTACTGTTTCTTATATATGTTGTGACATGACGGATGAAAGCCAGAATAGCAGACCCAGAAAAAAGACATCCATTACTAGGCAACAGCATGCTAAATGCATTCCTATTTTAACGAATAACCACGCAACAGTGGAGGAATTGTTAGAAGCAGTGTATTCTATGTGGTTTGTGCTGAGGCTATATAAAGAGAACCAGCAGGAGTTCTAGTCAGTTGAGGATGTGAGCTAGTTGCAGTTGGTTGCAGCTGGGAGGTTTCTGGCCAGCAGGAGTGTGAGCACAGAAGTGGAGGAGTCTGCATTGTTGGAGCCATAACCAAGCAACACCTAGTGAAGACTAACAAACTAAGAAGGCTAGTGAGTGTTATAGAGATCTGTGCAGTGTACTCATGAATTAGAAGCCTCCAATACATCCAGTTGTCAGTCCAAAGCCATATCTAATCATTAACACAGGACATTTTATATGAGCCCGGATAGCTCATTTGGTATAGCAACGGGCTATGGGCTGGATGGCTGGGTTTGAAT